AGCACAATGCACATTCGTGGCTAGACAGCACAGAAGTTAGAACCCAAAATACTGAGTTCAAGGCTCAAGCGCGGATCCAGCTTGGAGTTTGGGAGGGGAAGGGGGCAACTGTTCATCGACGGCGGACATAGGGACTGTGTGGAACTCAGTGTAGTTTTGGTTATCGGCTCGGGAACGGTCGACGGCACTGTGCTGCTGCTAGGTGCCTCCTCTGTCGTTTGACGGGGCTTTGGAACAACTGCTAAGCTTCGGCTAACCGCTGCGGCTCCGGTGCCATCGGCTCAGAGACCAACAGGCTGAACCGGCCGGAACTGATCGGGGATTCTGATTCTGTTAGGCTGATCCTGTTAGTGCGAGAGAGGCAGATGGAGCCTGGCCGGTGGGTTCTGCCTCAACGCGGGGCTGATGGGGTAAGGTGCAGCCCATATACAAAAAAAAAAAGAAATGTAAAAGTGTTGGAAATATCGCTGCAGAAAGTCAGAGCATTTAGCATGGAAACGCTATGGTCTGATGGAACTGAATGTCGTGGCGAATTTCGATGCTACCAAATTTCGGCGGGGACTTGCATCCACCTGCCGCTGGTCAGCCGTGCCACGGACGCTCCGGACTTGTCGCTGCCGGTGCCGGTGCTGGCCGAGCTGGCCGCGCTCTGGGCCGACTGCGCCAAGCCGCTGCGGCCATGGTGCCCGACATGAACCAGTAGGTAGCTGACGCCGGGGCGGCGCTCGGCGAGGCCGGTGAGGCCAAGGCCGTTTAAGAGAGGTAGACTGAAAACGTCTGCGTTTGGCCTTCTACGGGCCCGGACGGCCGCGATTGGCGATCCACCAGTGACGTCACTGGTAGTGTTAAGCTGATAAGTGAATAATACATGGGGAGAACCGGGACGACATCCCCCTGGGCTGGACTGGGAGTTCGCGGCCCGTGGCGAACACTGATTTAGAATATGTAGTTGCGTGATGCTTATGTAGTTACGCTTTTCTTGCTTCATTTTAGGGAGACAGTAAAACGCTTACGCTTTTCTCGATGGTTATAGATATAACTATTAATACGAATTAAGAAAAAAAACTTAGAAAGATAGAGATCTATGTGTTAAAATCAAAATCTCAACATTGTCAAGATGTGAGTCACGCTTTTCTTGGTTTTCACAGCAGAATCGGTTTAACAATTTCTCTTATGTGTTGTGTGAGGCCCGTTTGAAAACGATCTATTAAACAAGGGAACTCAAAGGGATAACAGTTTTAGAGCGCCCATTTTGGTCTAATGCTACCAACTGCTACCCTAACTGGCTACCCCTGGTCTTACCCCACTCAATTTACCATGCCCCAGACTAGGAATTCGTGTATAGTGAATCCGCATTCCGGACGCGCCGCGTGTTTTTAACTGGACTTGATGTAGACTTAAACCATGGATGAGATAATAATGGATTGGTGTCTTCGCAGTTTTTGGCGACATTGAGCTCAGGGCTGCCATCTAGCGGGAGAATTATCGTAAGTTAGGAGCAAGCCGAGTTAACGCCGCTGATTAGCATTGTGACACACGGGAGTGTGGTGTAGTAGCAGGCTTTTTGTGCAATTTTTCAAAAGGTTATGTCTCCAAATGTCAGTAAAAGCGAAGAAATTAATAGAGTTACCTATGTGCATGGTCAGTAAAAAGAAAAGCAATTCCATGTTATTTCCTCGTTAAACCGTGAAACAGGGAGTTATTGGAGACTTCGCCAGCACGTGTCGTGTTCGCTATTTTTCACATGAATCTTTACTTGTCCTAAATCAAACAAATTGTCTGATCAAAGAACAAAACGAACGTAAGTACTATCTATAAGTCTAATGAAAAAGTTTGACGGAATTGCTAACGTCATTGCCGCTCAATATGTCATTCAAGACGCGCTATGAAAAGGACCCAACCAGTTCTGCGTACCTAGTCGATGAAATTTCAATGACTTTGGCTCCAACTCCGATTCCGGTATCCAAATATCGACTCCGACTCCTCCGGGCAGAACTGTCGATTCACATAGACTCCGACTCTAACCCCGACTCTGTAGCCCTGGTAAGTTTATGGAGTCGATGACTTTTCGGTAACGTTCGACTCATACACCGACTACAGCTTTTAAAAATGAACCGACTCCGAGTCGGAACAGAACCGCTGGCTCTGACTACAACTCCGCAGCCCTGGCCTAAGATAGCCGCCTAAAACAACTTTGATGTGTGATCTTCTTCGTACATTGTTAATATTATTTTAAACAAGGAGTGGAAAAAGTCAGATGAAGCCTTCACAAACAAGGGTCTCCTGATGCAGCCCCCGTTCACGAGCTTCAGAATTCCTTTACCGTGACGTCATCACGGCGCATGAATTTTCCTTCACCCATAGAAATGCATGCAAAGCATGGTGTGTTTCAGGCGTGCTAAGGAGAAATCTAAGGCCTACATGTGTTCAAAAGACGTACCACTAAGCCAATGGATTCGTCTCATTACGATAAATGGGGTTGAAATCGAAACATTCGGCCTATATTTATCTAAAATGGGCCAATCAAATGGTCCCTGCAACTCATAATGATGGATTTCCTCTGCGTTGAAAAATTTGTTTGAAGTGTTTTTTCATCAGCGACAGGGGAAATCCTTCATAATTGCTACCAGATTACTACCATATTCCCTCGCGTTTCTGTTGCGCATTGCCTTACAAATCAGAGTTTTGCGAAGTTTATATTAATTTAATTGTCATATTTTGACTGATTTTGGCGATTTTCAATTATTTCAACGCAGCATGGATCAGATAGACCTCATAGTTTGCTGAAGAATGTGGCTTTTGCTTGGTTATTTTCAAGTTATCTGCGATTTGGTGCGCCGTGATCGTAGCATTATACAAATTATATCAACTTTAAAAATTGAATCAACTTTTGAAGTGAAGTTCACATGAAAAATCAAAAGTTCAAGCATAATAATTGTTTAAACATAATGATGCAACATGTGTCTCCCAGATGGAACTTATATTTCAATTGAAAACTGAAAATGGAAAACAGAAGATGGATCTGCGGAGTTACTGAGATCACAAGGTGCTCTTGATTGTTGGTAATTGAAGATGTTGAGAGAACTTGTGAATCTGCATACCATTCCTGACTTGCTTGATTGTTAAAACTATTTTAATTCTCATAATTGTGTAATGTGTAGTGACTGTGCACACTGCTCAGCACATGTGCGCAGAAATGTGCAGGTGGCTGGTAGGTGGGTTAAACTTCGGAGATGCGAATTTGGATGTCTGTTATAAAATTAATGGTTATGCCTTGTAGAGTAAGCTCTGCTGGTTTTTTTTTGGTAATTGTCTTTTTTATAATTGTAACCTACAATGCTGTTAGTTTCATTTTTATTAAAATGCTCGACCAGAATTTGCACTTGTTCATGCATGAATGGCTAAGTTTGGGGTGTTTATTCAACCCTGACTGCTCAAGTTTTTCAAAGGCACATGACACAGCACGGCTAGATCAGCTGGTACCTACCTGTTGACTATTTTTGTTTTTGGTGGTGATGTGTTTGCTGTTTGTCTTTTGCAAGGTGGTCAATGAAATAAAATAATGCATTATTTTGGAATGTTTCCTTGACAGAAGCCAGGAGCCAGATTGATGTGTGCTGGTGAATGAGATGGTTCAAAAGCATTATCTGATGTTTTTCAATGTGCATAAGCCATAACATCCCTTTCATACGCTGAAGTTTTAATAGCTTCTCAGTCTCTGTCATTTTCCTGAAATATTGGTGTAGATAAGAGATATCAGTACCTTCTCACAGGTACCTGCATTCTGCTGGATGAATATTTAATTGGTTGGACGAAATGGACAGGTAGCCTTATGATAATGTAATGTGAAATCTTATTTCTATAAAACTTTGAAACTGAAGTTCTAATTATTCATATGTGCATACATTTTTGATGACTAAGAAAGTTTTCCACAAGAGTAGAAAATGTGGGAAAGTCTATCAAATCACACATTCTGAAGGCTCATTGCTGACAGAGTGCTGCCTCAAAGAATAACTGACTTGCTGGGTTACGAATATTTCTTTATTTTAATTTTCAAATGTAATGTACAATACATTGCAGTGAAATAACAGAATAGTACAGTAAAATAGTATTGGCGACGATCAAACAACCCGTGCGCCATTGATGTCTGCAGAAATTGCTACCAGATTGCTACCAAATACGTGACGTAGCTACGGCGCCTTTATTTCCCTAGTGAACCAACCTGAGTAGTAAAGTAATCTTGTCCTGATGCGGATCAATCCACTGCTGGAACAGAAAGGCAGAAACACCACGCATCTCATTTCATCGTTTCCCTAACGACTCGCCAATGTACTAGTAGGTACTGATCAATGCAGTGCGAGCATCGATGTGACATTTGTGTACCAAGTTTGAGTGTTATCCGCCCAGCCGTTCTTGAGATATGGAAGTGGCACCCCGCACGTGCGCACGTGCTGTAGCACCCCCATGGTGACACACGGAAATGCATTGGCCATTGGGTGCCTAACTATTGACGAAGTTTTACCGTAATGGGCCCAGCCATTGCGGAGTTATTTTATGTGCAACGATTTCGACACCCCTAAGTTGGCACGTGACACGTGTCGTAACATATAAACTAAGATGTAGAAAATCGGGCGAAATTCGGAGAAGAAGGAATGGGCCTACAAAATATGTGCGACATATTGTCAAACTGATGTACCATTGTGAGTAAATTACCATAGCAAAGGTCGTAAAAGCCGACGGGACTGGGCGGTTCAATACACACCGTCTTTCGCATTTATTTTCGTTATTACCTAAAGTCTGCTGGACGTTTTTGGCTTTCAAGCATTTACGACATTTTTTGTCGTCTCAGGCCCGGTAACATTACCTCCAACTCGTGGGAACCTGCACTTCAAGCCAAAAAACACAACACACCCACGTGTGTCATAATTGTTCCCGCTGGCATCAATTTACTGCAGTGGTTTAGGTGACCACCAGCGTGGCCCGCGTGGGCCCCGTTTTTTGCCGCATCTGCGCAAGAAATGTTATTGTTTTGAACGAAAAGCGAGCCGAGGGACATGGGACGGAGTGAGTAATGTATTTTCTTTAATATTTTGGTATGTATGCTTTTGTTTATGATTAGATGATGTTTTTGCCTAAGTTTGTTATGTTGAAGTGCAAACAAAAACATTCTAGTCAGATATTATAGTCAGTTATCAGTTGGTTGCGAATGTGGCGCAGGAATGTTGAGGAAACGAGGGTTATAATATCGTGTTGTGTCTTTTCAGTTTTTTACGTGGCATTGCGGATCTGGATGAATATACTGAATTAAAAGGAAAACTGATGTCCTATCCACATGCTGCTACAGTAAAAAATCCCCCAATCCGAACAAAACAAGATGAACGTTGGGACCAATTCCTTGAACCTGTAGGTAGTGAAATGACCCGAACTAACAATCTATACACTGAGTAGAACTTTATTTGCCTCATATTATTTCAGTTCTTCCAACGACCTATAAACCTGTACCTGTAGTGTTTACTTTTCTTTTATTTTATTTTTTGTTTGAAACTGCTTTGAAATGGATGAAAGTAAGAAGATGGAAGGTCTGGAAGGTGAAGTGAAGGAGGGTGGTGCAGCACTGCTCGCTAGAAGGAGTGGGAGAAAGGTCACATTAAATCCGAAAGGTGCTGCATACCAGTTAGAAACCAAGGAGAAGAGCTATAATGTTCTTCTAAAGGAATTGAAGAAGACAGGAGCTGAACTGTTGGAAGAAGATGTGTCCGAAAGGGTCAAGGCAGATGAAGTTCTCCACAAAACAGTGACAAAGAAGGTGAGACAGTGGCTTCATGGATATGTGACGCTCATGCAAACAGCTATCGATTTGCAAGCTCTGCTTCCTGCAGACAGAAAGGAGGAGCATCTGTCAAGACATGCAGAAATAGGGGTAGAGTTGAACCAGATGAAAGAGGGTGCGGATGCTTTGCAAAAGGAACTTGCATTGATTGAGCATGAAACAAAGTCTGAAGGTTCTGTGGCAGGAGCTAGTACGACGTCAAGTTCAATGAGAGCAAACCTCATGATGCTGCGTCTCCAGGATGAGAGAAAGAAGGCAGAAGTGAAGGCGCAACTGATGGCCGTGAAGAAAAGACAAGAACTTCTGAAGGAAAGACAGGATCTGGAGCTGAGAGAAAAGGAGTTGGAGTTACAAGTGCAGCTTGACATTCAAAACGCACAAGAGGATATCAGCGAAAAGTTTGAACAAGAACTTCTGAATGAAGATGGGCCAGATGAGTATCAAAAGGACACACAAGTGAAGACAAATGTGAAAATACAAGAGAAGAACTCAGATGGCAATGCTCAGGCCGAAGGAATTTTGACAGGACTGGCACATATCATATCAAAGTCACAGAACCAGCTGCCTGTTCTTGAACCTGAGGTATTTAAGGGTGACGTTGAGCAGTTCGCAATGTGGCTCAAGTCATTTGAATGTTACATTGAGTCAAGGACTACTGAGAGCACAGAAAGACTGCACTATCTTGCAACCTACACAGGTGGAAGTGCTAAACGTGCAATTCAAGGACTTCTCCAGTTGAGAAGTGAGGATGCCTACTCTAAGGCAAAGCAGAAACTGATTGAAAGGTATGGAAACGACTTTGTCACAGCAAATGCCTATAGGCAGCGGCTCCACAGCTGGCCACATGTTCGGCCTGGAGATGGCAAGGCCCTTCGTGAGCTGGCAGATTTCCTGGAAGGTTGTCTGGTGCAGGGGGGTCTGCTCCCGTGCTTTTCCGCTATCAAAAACTGGCAATAGGCTGGCTCAAGGCCGTTTGACAGAGCTGCCGGCGCGCTGATTGGCTGACGGCTGTAAATAGGGCGGAGCTAATATGGTGACGTCACAGATCACTCTGCCCGAAGGCCGATAGTGTTATAGTCAGTGGAGGGGAATATTGTGCACCTGTTTTTTCCTAGTTTGAGTGTCACGTAAGGTCTTCTTCTTTATTTTGGTACAATTTAGGTCGTTCTCGTGGCTGCTACACATCAACTTTCCATTCGTTAACGCATTTGTCCGATTTAGAGCGTCTTGAACGTCGAGCTAACACCAGTGCCGAACGAATAAGGTACCGAATCGCAGTTACCACGAATAGAAAACAAGCCGTATCAATGATCAAACTGATGTTCGTTTCCGGAAGACACAAGCAACTTCTTGCCTATGTGTTGGATTTTTAAGTTATTGCCTTAATTTATGTGTTTTCAATGTCGTCCATCTAACCCTCACCGGCCGAAGGGGGAGACGGGTGCCGCCCCCAAACCCATGGGTTTATCGCGATAGTTCGGAACACGCCGGCGATAGAGAGGCAAAACTTGGCCTACCTGGTCTTTCCTTCAAGCCGGATCTTTTGACACCAACTGCATTTTCGGGTCAAGTCAGTTTCGGGTCTATGACGTCATAAGTGAACCTCTGCACGGCCCCACAATGTCGTGACTTCGCAGCGCTCTCACAGTGCACAAGAGCCGAGGAGCTTTCACAGGGAGATGAACTTACAGGACCTAGTATCCATGAGAGGTCTCACAGCTTGTATGTCTTGGATTTTTCCTAAGGGTCACCTGAGGTCAAGTCCTCACCATGACGTGACCTCGCCATTATAAGTGGATGGGAAAATATGTATACGATATGTAAATATGGATCATCGCCGGATGGCGCCGGCAATGATCCAGAACTATGTCAAGCACACAGAATCGTGATTTCATGCACACGATCCGATGCTTCACTTTTGTATTGCTGACCTTGTGTGACGTCATTTATGACGTCGATAAGGTCATAAGTGTTTCGTCAATAGCTCCTGATCAAATTGAGCTAGCGTAGCGGAGTACGGAAACCCACCAATGGACTCGGGAACACCTGTCGAACCGAATGATATGCGATATGACCTCCTTCGACCAACTTGGTGACCTGAAGGGCTCTGACCTGACATTCACCCGAAGTCAACATTTTAGGTTGAGCTCGACCGAACAAAATGTATACCATTCGACGTGCCTGAGCCAGGCAAACAAGATGCCGTCAAAATCGCGGCTCTGTGAACATTTCTGACGAAGTTGTTTGCCAAAAACTGACACTTAGCTTGGGCCACTTGACCGGACCTCAGATGTGACCGGTTAACCTGAGGCCTTGAAATCGGCTACTAATCGCTGCGTAGTGCGTCTCGTAACGGCGCATACGTTTGTATTTTCCGCGAAAATCTAGCTCAACCAGGGGCGAAACGGCGAGTCTTATCAACTAACCCCTCCCCTCTCGGCCGGAGCGTATGAAGAAAACCAATAGGTCCGGCGAGGTTTGGTTTAAGAAATACGGCTAGTTAACGATAGATATTTTAAGTAGCACTGTTTCTTAAGGTGTTTGTATACAAGCGCTGCGCACATAAAAACAAAAAACAAAAATGTTGGCTGGCACGGCCAGGCAACGGCTCTGCAGACTGCATCTGTACTGTACTGCTGTTTCAGGCGCTTTATATATTACAAGTGCTTTATATAGGTATTAGGTATACATTACACAATATGAAATTTATCATTTCACGATTCAGTACGCATTAGTGAATTACGATGCTATCTAGAATCAGAAACGGAACGGTCCAGTTGCGATAAACTTTTGAAATAGCGAAAGAGAAACAGCCACGGATGGGCTATGGCGAATGCATTACCTACTCCAAGAGCAAGATAGAGGAGGTTGGAGCAGGGCCCTCATTGACTTTGTAGGGGCTAGAGCTGCCACTTGAACAGGGAAGCAATCTTGGAGGAGTTTAGATGCGTTAGGAAGTGAGACTGGAACAGACCCATTGTGTCCGGTAGATGGGTGGAAACTTACCTATGTCTAAGAGGTAGGTAAGGCGGAACGTTTACCAGTAGGTACCGATTGTTATGTTAATTCTAACGGTTCATTTTTCCTCACTGATCTGTCTGGTGAAAATGTGAGCTGCTAGCTGAGCTTAATGACCGGGAGTAAACGCATTTTAGCGTTAGTTGCATTGCAGCCGACGGGCGCAGAGTGATCTGTGACGTCACGAATCATTAGTTCTCCCGCTGCCCATAGATGACGCTAGTGTGGTCTACGCATCCCGCCCATAGATGGCGCTGATACATGTTGCCACTTCTCGCGGCCGGAGCAGCCTACCTTTCTATAGAGCCTTGGTCTGGTGGCAGCTCAGACAGTACCAGGACTCAACAATCTTGGGAACATCGATGATATTACCCAGCTGCTGAAAAGACTTCCACGATATCTTGTAGATCGCTGGAGGAGGGTTGTAGATGAGCACATCTATGAACGCGACAAGTCGGAGTACCCAGGCTTAGAAGTGTTTGTCAACTTCTTGACCAAAGAGGCTCGAGTCGCCTGTGGACCAGTATCGCTGGAGACAGACCAAGACAAACTGAAGAAAACAAGAGACAGAGCTGGAGCATTCGCTTCTTCGACTGGTGCAGTAGCTGAAAGGAAGTCGGACAGGAATTTCAGAAGAACTGAACCCAGCTACCAAGCAACCAGCAGTAGCCAATCAGCTCCTGACAGCTACAAGTGGAAGTGTGTCCTGTGCGTAGAGAGGCATCCACTGGACTCATGTGATGTCTTCGCAAAGATGGCCCTGCCAGAGAAGCATGCTGTAATTCGCAAGCATGGAGTGTGTCGTGGCTGCCTGCGTATAGGCCACATCTGGAAGGAGTGCAAGAGGAGAAGAGAATGTGGAAAGTGCCACGGTGCTCACCCGACACTCCTACATGATGATGATTTCAGGTCATCAAGAGGGACTCCCGGACGCTCGGTGTCAGTCGAAACACAAACGGCTACAACACTGAAAACTGAAATCAGATCACCGCCCAGCGATGCAGATGATGGAACCCCATGTTTTCATTCACTGATCGTGCCTGTACTGGTCCATCACCGGACAACACCGGAGCACAAGGAAATGGTTTACGCCATTCTGGATCCACAGTCTGATGGGACGTTCATAACTGAGAGCGTCTGCGACAAGATCAAAGCACCCGGAGTGGAAACTTCTCTGGAATTGAGTACGATTACTGGGACAACCGAGGTGAAGGCGAAAGCAGTGACGGGACTGGTCATCGAAGCGCTGGACTCCAGCAGTGAGATCAGCCTCCCCACAACGTACACCCGTGAAGACATGCCTGTAGATCGACAACTGATCCCAAGGCGTGAGACAGCAGCAAACTGGTCTCATCTGAGAGAAGTAGCTGAGAGTTTGCCTCCCTACTACCCGGAGGCGGCGATTGGTCTACTCATTGGCTTGAACTGCAGCAGGGCCATCAAGCCTCAGGACATCGTGACAGGAGACGACAACGCACCGTGGGCAGTCCGCACAGCGATGGGCTGGGGTGTCGTTGGCCTCGCTCGCGGCAACAGAACGTGCTGTTTTGCATCGTGCGATGGTGCGGCGAGTAGGCAGTGTCACTTCACGCTGAGGACCCGAGCGAGGGAAGTTGGGCCGTCACATTTGATTGAAATGTTGGAGACAGGGTTTCAGGACCAACCTCAAGAGAGGAAGATCTCACAACAAGACAAGAGATTTGTGGATCTAATGGAGACACAGATGCACGCCACAGAAGATGGTCACATGGAAGCGCCACTTCCACTGAAGGACCCAGAGGTTGTGCTGCCAGACAATAAGAAACTTGCAATGCAAAGGCTGCAAGGGTTGAAGAAGAGATTTGAAAGGGATCCAGGATTTCAGGCAGAATACAACACGTTCATGACAGAAATGCTGGAGACCGGAGTCGCTGAGCCTGTGCCTGAAGAGGAACTTGGTGGAGCCGGCAGCAATGGAGTGTGGTACCTGCCGCACCATGGGGTCCGTCACCCTCGCAAACAAAAGATCAGGGTGGTCTTTGACTGCAGCTGTGAATTCGATGGACGGAGCCTAAACAGTGAGCTCATGCAGGGACCGGACATGGCCAATAACCTCTGCGGCATCTTGACACGATTCCGTAAGCTCCCCGTGGCTCTCACTTGTGACATCAGAGGGATGTTTAACCAAGTGAAAGTGAACCAAGAACATCGAAACCTGCTACGCTTCCTCTGGTGGAAGGATGGAAACCTGCAGGAAGAACCGACAGAGTTCAGAATGACTACGCATCTGTTCGGGGCAACATCATCCCCGTCTTGTGCGATGTTCGCGCTGAATAAGACAGCTGAGCTCTATGAAGAAGAGTGTGGCCCAGAAGCTGCAGCCTTCGTGCGCCACGATTTCTATGTGGACGACGGATTGATATCAACTCCGGACAAGACGTCGGCGTGTGACCTGGCTGGAAGCGCAACAATGTTGTGTTCCAAAGGTGGTTTCCAGTTGCACCAATTCACCTCGAACGAGCCGGATGTCATCGCCAGCATCCCCGAAGAAAATCGATCGAAGAATCTTCAGAACAAGGACGTCGTGGACGAGTACAAACCAGTGGAACAGGCTCTTGGACTTTCGTGGAACATTCAAGATGACACGCTCCTTTTGACAGGAGACCTGCCCGACAGACCAGTGACTCGACGAGGGATTTTGTCTACCGTCAGTTCCCTATACGACCCCCTGGGGTTGGTGTGTCCCTTCACGTTGCAGGGAAAGCAGATACTGAAGCGACTCTGTTGTGATGGCGGTGGATGGGATGAGCCGGTACATGAAGAGTGCTGGCTTGATTGGAAAGCAGACCTGGCTACACTTTCCACTTTTGCAGTGCCCAGGTGCTACGTTCCATCCTCATGTCTGGTGGAGTCCTACGAGCTGCACAACTTCTCAGACGCCAGCCTAGAGGGGCTCGGGGCCTGCAGCTATCTGCGAATGAAGACTACCGATGGACAGCTCTATTCGTCACTGGTGCTAGGGAAAGCCAGAGTAACGCCGAAACGCGTGACGACTGTTCCAAGGTTGGAGCTGGCAGCGGCACTTCTT